ACCCACGTGGGCACGGGGGTCTCCGAGCTGGGTGAGGACCACCCAGGAGCGCCCGGCTCCCCGAGGCAGCCCAGAGGAGGCCAGCGTCACCCAGCTGTGTCTGCCCTGGCTCGTCCACACTGAGTTCTAGTCACTGCAGATGTGGGACACTCCAGGACCCCTCCCACCTGTCCCACCCAGGGCTCCTGTCAAGTTTCGTTCCCGCTCCCTTCCTCTCCCAGGCTCACGCGGCCCATATGGGCCCCAGTGTGGCCCTCAGGTCCCCGATGGGCTCCTGCTATGGCAGCCGTGCTGTGGACCCAATGTCAAGAGTGTCTGCCCCAGACAGTGCTGTGGAGGAAAGGACTATGGAAGGGGGTGCACACCAGCACAGGCAGAGGCCCTTGGCTAGAGGAAGAAAGGTATTCCAGAGCAAAGGTTTCCCCCACACCGACTGGGGCCCACAGAAGAGAGATGCTTTCGTGGCAACCCGGTACACGTGTGTGCAGGTGTGCAGGTGTGGTGTGTGTGTGTGCAATGAAACAGATTCAGGACACTGTTTCCCTTTCCCATGGGTAACGTACTCCTACTTGCTAGTCCAGCCTACTTAGTTTTTTAATGTTGTTGGTGACGAACTAACAAACTAATTTCACCATGAATCTCAGCCCACGTTTGGAAGCCCCAGGGCTGGGGGCACTGACGGAGGCTCAGCGAGACTGACGCAGAGCGGGGGGAGTCAGGCAGGCTGGGCTTGCAGGGCCATGGGCCCGAGTTTGGTCTGCGGGTCACAGGGAGCCAGCAGGGTGTTCTAAGAGGGGGGTAGGGTCCCAGGCATCCCAGCTGGTCCTCGGCAGTGCCGTGCCAAGGGCTGTCGCCAGCTCAGACTGGCTTGAGCAGAAGGGAACGGACCATGTCACGTTCTGGGAAGTCTCGGCCAGCTGTACCTCTGGGCTGATTCTTTCGCAGCATAGCTGCATCGCCAGGGCCCAAGCCGTTTCCCTCCACCTCTGTCCTCTTCGTTTCATAGCTCCAGGCCTGATACCAGACACAGCAATGACCAGAGCAAGAACGGAGACAGTCTCATCTTGGTCTCCTTAGGCAGGAAGAACCCTTTCCCGGGAGTCCCCTGATGACTTCCCCCTGGAAGGGCCAGACTCGGTCACACAAATGTCCCAGCCTGGGCCTGCGATGAGCCTAGTGAATGGTGGAAAGTCACCCCTCCCTGCCCACGCCTCCTACCAGTAAGCCCAGTTGGGAAATTCAAGGATACAAGTTAAACGAAGGCAACCATCTCTGTAACACTATTTCCTGTGTCATTGTCTGTAACGGGAAAAGCCGGAGACATCCAATGTGCAGGCACAGGGGCCTCATTGAGTAAGTGACATTTTTCAGCCTGATGGAGTGTAATTGTGGCATTGAAAAGTGCAGTCAGTTGTCATTACTGGATTCTCTCTTTGCAAACGTATGTAGTCGCAACAATTTATTCGCAGTCGCTAAACAATACTCACAGCACTCTCGTGGTTATTGGCGGGCCCGTGCAGAGCAGCAAAACGTTTGGGTTGTCTGAGGTGCATGTTCCCAGCTGAGGCCGAGCAAGACGCTACCCTGTGCCTTCTTGTCTCAGCTCTCATCCTGTAAACAAGAGTCCTTTCCAAAGTCTGTCTGGGGGCACATCTTTCACATTTTTGTGCTTCTCGTTGGTGATTTTGCTGTTTAAAATAGCCCCTCGGTTCGTGCTGAAGTGCTGTTTAGGGCTTCAGCACGAGAACCCCGTGAGTTGCCTTTCATAGACAATACGTGCTCGACAGGCTTGTGGTGCTGTTGGCCAAGAGTTCAGTGTTAATGACTCAAGAGCATATATTAAATAAGGTGTCTTTACACACACACCTAACATAAAGCTATGCGTTGAAGCACCTCAAATAAAGGTACGTGTTGATCAGTTGATGAAAATACTGTGACCAGAGATTTTGCAGGAACCTAATGCCTACTTCCCCTGGGAGCAAATGACTCCATGTTCACAGATTCAGTGCTCAGGCCAACTGAATAGAACGACCTTGCGTACCAAGAATCAATTTTAGTATCAAGGCATGTAGCAAAATCCAAAAATATATAAAGGAGAATACAAAATGCATGTCCATCACGATTTCCAGCTTTATAGAAAATATGTACGCGCGAGCACTAGGGCTGGAAGGGGACCTAATATACCAAAAAATTCCTTTGCTGTTAACATCATTTTTTACAATCAATTTAAAAAAGTCTTAGGGTTGAAAAATAGTAACAGCTCTCCTTCCTGCCACGTGGTTTGGGTTTGAGTCATTACAATCGCCCTGGAGTGAAGGCATTTTGAGTTGATATCACCCCCCCACCCAGGGACGGACACGTGCTCCAGCACAAACACAGTGGGTCTGTCTGAAGGAGCATTTTGCACCAGAATTACGGGGTCCAAAGCACAGCCCCAGGATGAGTTTCGTCTTATTTTTTCCCTTTTAAAGAACGTGCGTCAGATAGTTGCACACACTGGCACCTTTCGTGACGGCCAAAAAGAGGAAGCGGTCCAAGCGTCCCATCACTGGAGGAATGGATGCGCAAACTATGTATGTGCTGTGTTCGTGTCATGGCCTATTATTCGGTCTTTAAAAAGGAAGGAAAGTCTGACACAGGCCGCAACAGGGATTAACCGTGAGGCCATTATGCTCCGTGAAATGAGCCAGTAGCCGAAAGACAAATCCTGTATGATTCCACTCACATGATGTCCTTAGAGTAGCCAAATTCATAGAGACAAAAGATTAGGACGGGGAAGGGGGAGGGGAGAGTGAGTGGGCAACGGGTACAGAGTTTTAGTTTTGCAAGATGAAAAGCATTGTCGACATGGACGGTGGCGATGGTTTCGCAACACCATGAATGCCCTTAGCACCGTAGAATCGTACCACTTAAAAACGGTTAAGATGGTAAATGGTGTCCTGTGTATTTCATAGAACTTTCTTTTTTTTTTTTTTAATGTT